CTTCGAGGCTGTCAATTTCCGGTTTGTAATCTAAAATGACTGAAAATTGCAAATTTCGCAAGGCTATATTTTCCGCATTTTACAACATTTTGCAACAAAACTTTGGAATATTACTAATTTTGTGATGCTCTTTCCAGCTGTAATAAAATTTTTGTTGAGATCAAAATTTAGTCTATTACGCAAATGGTCAATTCTGCTGAGACACGTGCAGTATTACGGGAACCACTGAGTATTTTAATAAAATATAAAACAGCAGTATAATATTGCTTTGTCATGTGATTTGACCTCATTGACATTGACCATGATTACAATATCCATTTTCTGCCGTACACCAACTTTGCATCATGATTAAGAACTAATTAGCCAAACATATCACGCCATAGTAAAAACACTTTGGTAATTTTGGTTTGGTTATTTTTTGGTTACTTTCTTGGGTTACAATTTTCCTGGTTGACCAAGAAATAAACCTATTTGGGTGTAGCCTAATATTCCTGGTTACATTTTCTGGTTAATGTTGCCAGGAATCTGCTTACATTCAGTGACTAGAACGCCTTCGTTAAATTAACCAAACCATAATATTTTATATCATTGTGTAGATCACAATCATATAAGAGCGTTGCTAACAAAATATATGACGTCAGAAATAGATATGCGGTCCACATGATTGTACCAGGGAATGGGAACTTATTGGAAGCAGAGCTTTCAATGGGAGCTTTCAATAGGAACAAAAAAAAGGAAGAAATTCATCACTATTTACATGTTGGGAAACTGGTTGTTAAATATAACTTGATCCTCATTTTAACGAAACCAGGGCGTAAGTATGCATTTTACTGTGATGGCTGTCAAATTCAGTACTTTTGATGTAAAGTATATCAATACTTTTGACCAGGATTGAAAGTCAAATTAATTGTGAACAATGAATATTTTCTTTTATAGAAACAATTTAAAGAAATAGCGTCCATTGACAGCTTAGCTGGGAACTACATGTGCTGCTACGTATCCATTACCATGACAGAGCCTTTGATCTGTCCACGTTTTTGTGACTAGTTCTTAGTCATGTCATTCTTCTTTCTCCTTGTCACATATTGCAAAGCACGTCTTGCATGAAGTTAACTTGGTGCGTGGGCGGAATTGCTGTTAGACAGCATGCACGTACCTGTTGATATCTGTTACACGGTAAAGGAGTATCAAGATAATTTGATATGCAGTCCACATGCCAGCAGCCGAATGGGAACTTATAGGAAGCAGAGCTCTCAACGGGAGCTTTCAATGAGGACTTAAAAAGGAAGAAATTCATCACTGTTTACAATCTGGGAACGAGCTTGTTTTAATAGTTATCTTGATCCTCATTTTAATCTTTGCGCAATTGTTCAGTAACGAAACCAGTGCGTGTGCGTTTAGCCGTAACCCATTCAATCAGGAGAAAATTTATTCCCATAGGATATTTCATTTAAACCAAGTAAGATGAAGAAAAATTAAAATTGACATAGCTTTCGAACGTTTGATGTTAAAGTTTCTTTGCACAAGATGACAGGTCTGATCAAAGAAACAGTTCCTTCCTACCACAATAGGGAGTAGTAAAGGGAAGTTCGGATCACGTTTCACGTGAAGAAAAACAGCTATTTCACGTTTCACATTCAAAAAATGAACCATTTCACGAAAATTAAAAAATGCATTTTCTATCTCGAGACTGTCTTTCTTAACCCGTCAGCTTACTTTTACCGCATTTTCGCAACTAATCAATGGCAAAACATGTACTGACAAAAGGTCAACAAGTGTCCGATGTCATATCATATCCTTTCTGATATCACTCCTAGAGATGATAAGTTTGATGACGAAGTGCCCAGAATCAATGATGATATTGATAAAGTTATAAAGTCATATCGAAATGTATTTCATGTGTATAATGGCAACCTGCGATATTCAGATTATTACCATGATGTGAAACATCTAAGTAGAAAGTATGGAGTTCCAGCCTTAGCAAGAAACATAAAGTCAGTTTTGCGAGAAGCGTTTCAGAGTCCAGCTAGACCAGAGCATGCAGAGCATTACAGAAGCGACAAACCACCGCCAGTGATAGATACCAGACCAAGACATGATGACAACACAGC